TTCTAATCAGACTTTTTATAAAAATTTTTAAAATGAAGTTTTCCAGCACATTAAATTTTAGTTGATTTTTGGTATTGTTTTTATTGAGAGTTTCTTCCATACAAACTATATTCGATAATTCTTTTTATATGGAAGACACTGTCAGCAAAAAAATAGATAAATGCTAAAAATCAACGAAATTTCCTGGCAACTTCAGACTTGCACTTTATTAATTGGCTCAAAAGCTACATTTTCAAAATTTTTCTAAAAGACCTCCGAGCCAATAATTTTGTACGACACTGTACGTACTTATAAGTATAGGTTTCATGAAAGAAAAAAATTTAAGTACAAGATAACATTAAAATATCAGTCATATTTTTCGTTGCTGTGAACTTGTTTCAAAACTTCTGTCTTTTCCTTAATATAATTGTAAAACTCTGTGCACGTCATTTTGAACGTATTTATTTATTTATTTATTTATTTAAAATTTTTGTACAACTAAGACAATTCAGTCTTTTATAGGTACATCAACAAAGAATTATAATCTATACTAACATAATTTGCCAAGAAAAGACACAAACTAAAATATATGAGTTCTTAATGTAAACTTAATACTAATAAAGCAAATGTAAATGATTAAAGAGGAAAACGGAGATGTATAATGTAAGAGAATAAGTAGATGAAGAAAGAAAAAGGAAAAAAGGTACACACCAAGATTATTTGTAGTCAGAGGACATATCAAGGCCACTAAAGTATTGAATTATTAACTTTTTGAAGTTGCTTCTATTCAGTCTAGCTTTAACACTTTCTGGAATCGAGTTCCTCAGTCTTACAGCGCTAATGAAAAACAGTCGACTGGAAGTAAGCGAATTATATTTGGGGACAACCAAACTGTTATGTCTCTGTGATTTGGTTAGTTGAAGCTTTTCATACAAATATTGCGGGACTTTCCACTCTAACAATTTATACAAAAAAATGCAGTTTCTTGCAGCCAAAAAATTTATAATACTGCAACCAAGAATTTTTATCGCGCCATGGCGATATATGAGCATATCGTCCAATGCCAAACACATACCGTGTTACGTTATTGAAAGCTACATTCAACTTGCTGACTGACTTTGAATCAAGTTTGCTATAAACTATTTCGGAATATGTGAAATGTTTCCTGAGGCGTAAACGATGCAGACATTCCTAGCCTACGTAAAGTTACATACACATTACTTACTACTTTATTAACATGATCACAACAGCTTAACTTATTATTTCCAATAAAGCCTAAGTTCTTAATTTTCTCAGTGGTCATGAGGGCGGCTGTACCAATCCACAGAGGTGGGATGTTGGTAGGGTCTATTACACTTTTACATATAGGCATGACATACGACTTAGCAGCATTTAAACATAAAAGATTCCTCTGCGCCCAACACAAGATACCGGATCACTATTAACCTTATAACATATATCCTCGACGAGACCTATACGATTCGAAAGGTACAGCTGAATATCATCAGCATACGCATGGACATTTACATATTCGCACACCGAAAACACATCATTTACAAACATACTAAACAATAGAGGACCAAGGATGGATCCCTGAGGGACACCTGCTTTGATAGCTTTGAACTGTGAAGAAACATTCTGACCTTTAACTCGTTGAACTCTGCCCTTAAGATAGCTAGACAAAAGTTTTATCGCACCATTAGAGAATGCAAAGTAGTGCCTGAGTTTCCGACATAACAAAGAGTGGTTTACTGAGTCAAATGCCTTAGAAAAGTCTAAGAGGCATAGAATAGTTAGATCTCCATTATCGTACGGCATTCTAATGTCATCCAAAATTTTATCCATACCAGTAGCACAGCTATGCTTGGGTCTAAACCCAGACTGCAAAGGAGAAAGCAAATTATTTTTTTGAATGTACATGGAGATTTGGTCAGCCATCAAAAACTCACACGCTTTAGAAAATGCTGGTAAGATACTTATAGGCCTGTATTCACAAGGGTTCGACGCAAGTGGTTTTTTAGGAATAGGCAAAATAATTGCTTTTTTCCAAGCATCTGGAAAACGGCCACTAGAGAAGCAATGATTTATTATATGGGTAAGAGTACTTATAATAAATGGGAGCACGATTTTAACAAATCTTAAATATATTCCATCATCACCAACAGCATTCGACTTAATAGCCATAATTGCCTTTAGTACATCACATTCACTCACGCAGAGAAACGCAAAAGAATCTAAAGTTATACAAGCATCTAAAGGGGTATCATCAGAGATAGTAGAGTTACTGCAGTTTTCCGAACCAATAAAAAAGTCATTTAACAGATCAGGGCGAATTTTGCACTGCACTTTATTTTTCCCATGTATGTTTAAATGCTTCAAGTTGCTCCACAATTCTTTAGATGGGAGAGAAGGATTCAGTTTTTGTTTACAATACCACCTTTTAGCTTGTTTAATGATAACGGTGGCTTCATTTCGCGCGGTCTTGTACGCATGCCACGCAGTATCGGTATTCGACCTTCTTCATTTGGCATGCAACTTGTTGCGTTTCTTTATAGCGAAACTTACTTTTCTATTAAACCAAGGGCAGGATGTATTAATAACGTTTGCCGTACGGACGGGACATGACGATCAAAAAGGGTAGTTAAATTATTATTAAGGCATTCGAGCTTCTTGTCTACCGTTTCATAATACCAACATTCATTCCAATGAATAGAAGAACAATCAGAGAACAATGCACTATTATCTAACGAACGAAAATCACGATACGAGAAAGCAACTCCAATTGCAGAACGTTCAAACACTACATCAACAGTACAGAAAATTAAATCATGGTCAGATAAAAAAATAGTTGGTCAAATTTAAGAATATAGGTCAGGTCAGAGATAATAAAATAATCTAAAAGGCTAGGCCTAGAGTTGTTTGCATATCTAGTAGGCGCTAATTCATTAACAACGAATAGCCCAGATGCTGAGATTTGATCACGCAGTTTGATACTACTACACCTTTTCCAATAGTACTTTGGAAAGTATCAGTTTGATTTTAGAAAGCGTCAATTCGGTTTTAGAAAGTATCATATGGATTTTAGAATAGTCAAATGTTGTTTAGAAGGCGTCATATGTACTGTACATTTATTAAATGTACTTTAGAAAGCATCATTTCAATCTTAGAAAGCGTCAAATAAACTTTAGATTAGTCAAAAGTACTTTAGAAAACATCAAATGTACTTTTGAAGCAAGCAAATGTACATTATAAAGTATCAAATGTACTTTAGAAAGTGTCAAATGTACTTTCGAAAATATCAAAAATAATTTCGACAATATCAAATATACTTTCGACAACATCAAATATACTTTCGAAGATATCAAATGTACTTTAGAACATATCAAATGTACTTTAGAATCATATTCTAAGTCTCCCTTTAAATTGTTCATATTGCACCTAACATTTTTTTTTAAGATTAAGACATGTATATAGGTTGTAGTAATGTTTTTATTGAAGTTTTATATTACAATAAAGATCTAATGCAACGAAAAGTTTTCACTGTCCAACTGGCATATTGTCAAGCGAAATTACAGCAGCGTGGAACGACGTACTGTGCTGCACCGATCTAGCGCAATCTCCACCATTAACAGCGGCGGCAGCGTCTTTTATTAGGCCCTCTAAATACTGCAACCTTTGCTCAATAACACCCGGTCCAATCACGTCTGGAGTCCGTATATTTGACTTTACATTCGCCTTAATTTTTCCCCATATTATCTCTATGGGGTTAAGCATAGGAGAATATGGTCCAAGCCGCAATAAAGTGGACTCTGCACATACCTCGTGTAGCTTTGAATGGCATGGCGCGTTGTCGCACACAATAATGGCATCGGTAAGCTGATTACCCATTTCGCACCACCTATCTAAAACGGAGCGGAGCCAAGCGTTTGCGTCCTCAGACTTGAAGGATCCTCTTCTGGTAGTCATTTTGACTACACCAGACGCATAAATGGCCCCAATAAGGTGCACGTTTGGCCCTTTAGCCACTGGTAAAACTTGTACCGCACGTTTTCCAACCTTAGCACGACCTCGTGAACGCCGACAAAATAAATTAAAATTTGTCTCGTCGATGTATAAAATCTGCTAGACTTCCTGAATATATTGATTCAACGTACATACGTATTCGCGGCGCTTTTCCTTATTTAGCTGCGAATTCATTGATTGAGGTTCCTTATGAATCCCCTTCATCGTAAAAAGTTGTCCTTGTAAATAGTTTCCCACGCTGGAAATGCACATATCTTTTCTAAACGTTTGTTTAATTTTTTCACGAATTTTTGTGAGTGTCATAGTGGCATCCTCCTCAATCCATTGGACCATCACTGCAACTTCATTGTCCGACAGCGCTCTTTCTTTTGTACTGCCTTGCCTTAGTGCTTGAGGAGTGCCAGAAGATACCCATACGTAAGCCGTTTTATATTTTACATTTAAAGACTCCGCCAGCTGCACCCAATCAAGGCCTTTATTGGCTGCCTCCACAATTCGCTTCCTGTCTTCAGCAGAGTATTTTATGTTGGCACGTCGCTCAACTGATTCGGCAACTGAAAGAAATTGAATCATTTTCATTAATGCAATAGTTTTTTAAATAAAATAATTGCTTTGCATTGCTTACCCGTTACATCGCTTCGACAAATTGGACAACTTGTTGCGGTTGGTACATTTTCAAAACAGTCAGCATGAAATAGGTGTCTGCATGGCTGTAACCTTTTCAATGCTCGACGCTTCATAGAGACGAGGCAAAATGCGCAGTTATCCTGAACTTGCATTGTTAACGACTACACGTGAGTATTTAAAATACTCGTAATATTTATTCTACATTTTACATTTTCTTTAAATGTTACTCGGTTATGTTATATTACATACAGTAGATATTTTCTAAAGTGGATTTGATATTGTCGAAAGTAGATTTGATATTGTCGAAAGTACTTTTGATATTTTCGAAAGTACATTTGACACTTTCTAAAGTTCATCTGATTTTTTTAAAAAAACATTTGGTGTTTTCAAAAGTACATTTGTTGCTTTCAGAAGTACATTTGACTAACCTAAAGTACATTTGACGCTTTCTGAAATCTAAGTGCTACTTTCTAAAATACATTTGATAATTCTAAAGTATTTTTGACGTCTTCTAAAGAACATTTGACTATGCTAAAGTCCATATGATACCTTTTAAAATCGAATTGACGCTTTCTAAAATCGAACTGATGCTTTCTAAAATCCAACTGATACTTTCGAAAGTGCTATTGGAAAAGGTGTAGAGTCATTGACAAGTAAATTAACATTAAAATCACCACAGATAACATAACATTCATAATCTATTAAGAATACAGATAATTCAACGAAGAAACAATCTAACATGAAACATTTGTGTGGATTATAACACAAGAAATCAAAACTTTGGTTATACCGTCGGAAACCTCTGAAATTATAAATTCTGTATCAGAACCTGCAGACTTTGCAAGAAGCTTGATTTTAAGAGATTTCTTGCAGTATATGGCCACACCGCCCCCTTTTTTGTGCTTACGATCGTTCCGAATCACATTATAATTGTTGATGCAGCAATGAAGGTCAGAAATAAGATCACTAAACCATGTCTCAGAAACACAGATAATGTCTACTAAAGACTGTTCAAATATGTATCTAACATAGTTCATTTTAATGCACGGAGCCTGAGTTCTGATAAAATGGACTATGTTAGATACATATTTGAACAGAAATAAGATGACTTAACCTGTGTTTCTGAGACAAGATAATGTCTACTAAAGACTGTTCAAATATGTATCTAACATAGTCCATTTTATCAGAACTCAGGCTCCGTGCATTAAAATGAACTATGTTAAGACCAGTCGACTGTTTACACAAAATATCTAACATAAGCTTATGGTTTCCATCAGCGCCAGATGGTTGTTTAACAGTTATGTTAAATTAATTACTTTGCACTGAACTGAGTAAGGAACAACTATGTAAACACAAAAAAAAAAGAACAAATACATCAGGGCATGAAAAGCAAATAGAAGTGAAAGGAGCAAGAAGGGAGAAAAGAGAAACTTGGTAAAACTTAAAACTAACATTACATACAAACAATTTATTGCAGGGCATAATTGATTTGAAACTGACTGCTTTAAGTTGTGCCGACAATTTCATCAATACCTTTCTTGTCGTATACTCGAATCGCCGCATCGCCATCCCTTTTTCGTACAAGCACCTGACCGCGTATTGAAAAAGCAGCTGAGAGATGTTTTTGACGTCTGAGATGGGCGGCATAGCAAGTGCCGATTTCAAAAACTGCCAATTTTTCGACCGGAGGTCGAAACTTGGGTATTTGTCACAGAAAAAAAACAGCATCACATTTTCATTATTTGTCATTATGGTTCTTTATTGAAAGAGGAAGCACCAGCGTTTGAGAAAAAAAAACGTTAAATAAATAAATACGCATCTAACAACAGTTTCGCGAGTACACTATACAACTCAGTTAGTTGTATTTAAGAAAAATAAACAGTTATTAGTCTATACTTGAAAATGCAAATATTTAATAAAAAAATATAATTTCTCTACCCACGAAGAAAACCGATCTAAAATTTGCCTACTATGTTTTAATAAAACCAAATTAATGTTTAAAATTGACGGTGAACTAGGAAAAAAGCTAAAGTGTTTATTGGATTCTGATTCGTTTCTAAGCGAAAAAGTTCCTATTTCATTATGCAACACATGCAGAAAAGACGTTTATCTTAAAAAAAAGAGATCATGCTCCCCGATCTTTCACAATTTCTTGGAGAAGTCAAAAGGACGAGACAAAAAAAAATAAAACAAATGGGTATTTCTCGGGATATTATCACGATGGATTGGGTTTTAATGGCAATGGGTGTAAAATAATTCTTGATAAAATTTATGTTCTTTGAAATTTTCGTTGTTTAGGTTTATTACCATATGTAGACACGCTCAAAAAATTTAATAATGTCTTAAATAGTTGTTTTGGTAATGATCTTGAAAGAGGATTTGAGAAACAAATCGAAGAATTCAAAATGAGTTATCTGACCTTAGATGTACGCGTGACTCCAAATGTTCACGCTGTTTTTTCACATTACTGATTTTTGTTTAAAATATAACACAGGTTTAGGCCTCTATAGTGAACAAGCAATGGAATCCGTACATTTTGATTTCTTGCAAACATGGTCCAGATACAAAGTATCCCCAGAAAAATCAATACGCGCTAAATACTTACTTAATGCTGTATGCGACTTTAATTGTAAACATATATAATTATAGTAAAGAAAAATTTATAAACACAAATAAAATCATATAATAATATAAACTTCTATTATCCGGAACTTTGGTGTGTGTTTGTGGTTGTGTGTATATGCCCTGTAGAAAACCGCGGACTAGTGAATCAAATTTCTAGTTCCGTACTAGGTCTTCATCGCCAAAAACGAACTAGTCCGATAGGAACTAGATCCCCACCAGTCGAAAATCGGCGAAAAGTGGTACTTTTAAGAAACCAATTTTTTCAGTTTTTTTCACTAGAAATCTATATCTAAAGTGACGAATTTAGAAATGGTTCGGAACTATCGAAAAAGGGATGCAGCGGGGGGCAATTGACACTTCCTAGGACATCGCCATGTTAAATTCGGCAGTTGCTTGCATGCAAAAGAGATTTATCGCGAACCAGTACTGGGTCTAAATGTACTAGAAGCGCCCCAGTTCAGAACTAGAGATTTTCCCCACAGGGTGTATTATAATTAATATACACATATTAGTATATATGTATGCAATACAGAGGTAAATATGTATATAGTCAGTTATCTACAACCTTATCTATATGACAAATATTAAAATTTCGGCGTACAATCGAAAAAGTGACCGTTTTTGAAATCGGCACTTGCTAGGATTTCAAACTTTGCATATTCTGACTTGGGTAGGTCCCTTTAAATAAGTCTAATTGGTAATTCCATCGTTCCAGACCGTATCAGTTGGATCTGGTTCAAGGACACCATGGCGTGCGTGTTATGAAAGTATTATTTATAAATACGAACATTTTTAAACGATAATCAAATAGAAAATATTCATGTTTACCATGCGTTATTTCCCTCAGGGAATTCATAACTTTTTTCTGAATATTACAACGCGTTTTTTCTCTTAGTGTAGTGATTTTTGAACTTTTATTCAAATTTGTGCAATCAAATCAAAAACCGGGACACTAAAACGAAACCCGGGACATTTTAAGGTTGGACCGGGACACCGGGACAAATAGTCTAAAACCGGGACATGTCCGGGAAAACCGGGACGTCTGGCAGCCCTAGTATAAATGCCATCACTCACACAAGCTTAAATGAAAATAGCTATTTACTCAACGCTTAAAGGTGACAAAAAAATCGATAGCGACTTTAAAAACTGGAAAGACCAATTTTTTCTTTTTGGAACTTAAATACTAAATAATACCAAAAAAAACAAAAGCGAAGTGCAATTTCGAAAAACCGTCCAAAGTGTATTTTTGTTCTATAATTATCTACAGATTCCCACAATTGTCTTCACTTTCCAGAAAATCAATGGAAATTCATTGACACAGTTGGCGTGGTCTGACTCTATATAACATTTTTTGAATCACGGTTTGAGATCAATTTAAGATATTATCAGTATATTTAAGTAATAATAAAAAAGTTAACACATTTAAGTAAACAATAAATATATAAGTGCATCACCTATTCCATTTCGAGAGAAGCAAAAGTATTCCTTCTTTTGATGGTAATCCGATCTTAAAGAAATTATAGCATTAAGGGTTGCAAAAAATTCTTAATTTGCCCTTGAGAGGGGATATTTGTGATAAAAAATTAATTGGCTAACAAAAAAATTGTTTCCATCAATCCCGGGATTTAAATCGACTAATCCCGGGATATTCGGGACTTAAAAAAGACCGGGATCCCGGGATCCGAAAATCACGGGATCCCGGAATTGACATCCCTAGTTGCAAGGCATATGAAAATGGCTACGTAACCTTTATACACCGTGTGCCCTCTATACTTCGACGATTTTATTTCGATGGCACCTGTGTAGTCCACTCCAGTTGCAAAAAATGCGCGTTGAGGTGGATTTACACGTTTTGCGGGCAGGTCTTCCATCAATTGAGAGGCTATCGAAGGTTTGTTACGGAAGCAAATGATGCAATGACGGAGATGATGTCTCACAGTTTTGTGAGCGTGGATGATCCAAAATTTTTTACGGATGTATGTAAGCGTCAATTGCGCGCCACCGCGTAATGTAATTTTGTGAGCAAAGTCGATTAGAAGTTTCGTAAAGTGGTGATTGCTCGGCAAAATCATGGGGTGTTTTTGATCATATGGTAGATTCGCATGATGTAAACGACCGCGTATGCGAAGAACTTCGTTTTCATCTAGGAAAGGTGTAAAACTGACTAGTTTGCTTGTTGTGGATATGTTGATTTTAGATTTCGGCAATTATCGAATGAGCTAATACTTTAGCTGGTTTTTCTTCGGTAGCTGTGCTGTCTATATCTACTAGGCTACCGGAAGAAATAGGCCAGGTCGATTTATCTTACCGTAGCCATGCAGGACCGATCCACCAAAGATCGAATTGTTGAAGTTGAGTCGGAGTTAAACCTGTAGTCGCGCAGTCGGCCGGATTATCCTGAGTTTTGACATGACTCCATGATTGGGCAAGCTAGCTGGCAAAATTTTAGCTACGCGATTCGCCACGTAGAGTTTCCATCGATGTATATCACCGGAAATCCAGTGGAGGACGATCGTTGCATCGGTCCAATAATATA